ATATATATATATATAAAATTTATATTATATAGTATTTATCAGAGGAGATTTTAATATGCCTATTTTGGAGATTAAGGTATTCTGTGAGTTCGTGTGTTTTTATGTAGACAAATGGTGTACAGGTGACTTGCTAATGACCCAAGTGTAGTCTTTAGTCTTTTAAACCCCGTTAATTAACCACCAGCCAGTTTTACCAACAATAGGGATGTTGAGATGACTCAATGTATTAGATGAAAGAATATATGAGCAGTCTAGTCTCTTAAATCGGATAAATTTTAAAGGGTAAAGACAAAAATATTTAGCATTGCATTACATACTTGGATAAATGAAAAAAAAAACACATTTTGTTGTTTCGGTTAAAATATATACCTTGAATTAATGAATAAATTAATACAGACATGTAGCTCTTGCAGACTGCAGCTCGACGCTGTGCAAGTGCAGCAACACATGCATTCTTCATCATTCATTTCGTTATTAACATTTTATGTTTTAAAAAAAACTGATAATAATTAAATTGTTCAAAAATTTAAAAAAGTAGTACTAATGCAAGTTTTATTCCAGTATTATTTACACACATTCCCGGCTTGATGCTGGCGTTCTTCACGATACAAAGGCGCGTTTTTCTGTCCGGAAATGTTTAGTATTGAATTTAGGATTAAAGCTTGATGGACTGGTGGTGTACTGGTTACATGCAGCTTTAATGACCCTTTTGCAGTTGAGAGACATGAAACTCATGAAACAACTAACCTTTTAACATTGACAAAGTTAAGATATCCACACGTGTCATTCACTTGGGGCACAGACTATGAGTCAGTAATAAAATTTTTACCAACTACATGTAATTTGCAAATGCTTAAAATCAATTCGCCCTGCTTATTAATAAGGGTTTTCAGAGATTTCCTTTTTTATTTAAATATTTTAATATGCTTCATGTTTCCTCACATTTGTCCCCCTTACTTGACGGGGAATAGTGTGTGTGTTTTGTGTGGTTTGTTCATATTGTTCATGGCCTTGAAAATTTACCCCACTGCAAGAAAAATTTATAGTATTATCTAGTTGTTTAATCAGCGCAGACTTAAGTTATAGCATGATATATATATATATATATATATTTTAAAATATATATTTTATAATTTTATTATATATATATATTATATTATTATATATTATATAATAATTTTATATACATTTTGTGTTGGGTGTGTGTGGTGTGGTGTGTGTGGGGGTTGTGTGTTTTGGTGTGTGTTTGTGTGGTGTTGTGTGTGTGGTGTAAATATAAGCAAAATTTTTTGGTTTGGAAGTTAAAAGGGGGTGGGGGAAAATTCCCAAAAAATGTTGTCCAGAGGGCTGAGGAAGGGTTGTTGAGGTGGTTGGGAATGTAGAGAGAATGGGCGAAACAGGTGACTTCAGAGTGTATCAGTCTGAGTGGAGGAAGGCGGGGTGGGGTCGGCCTGGGAAAGGTTGGAGGGGGGGGGGAAAAAGGAGGTTTTTGGGTGTGCGAGGGGCTTGGATTTCCCGCAGGCTGCGTGAGGTGTTGATAGGAGTGAATGGGACAAAGGGTTTTTTAATATTGACGTGCTGTTGGAGTTGAGAAAAGAAAAACCTTTATAAAGGGGTAGGGAAACCGGCAGGCCGGATTGAGTTGGGGAATGGGAAGTAAAGCACCCTTTGGCAAGACAGTGTGGGTAAAGAAGGTGAAATTTTTTCTTTTTGGGGCCCACCCTGCCTTGGTGGGGAAATGGGGCCAGTGTGATAAAAAAAAAATTATTTTTATATATGATTTATATATATTTTTATTATATATAATATTTATATATATATATATATATATTATATATATTTTTTATATTTATATATTATTCTTTTTTTTCCCAGAGAAAAATTGTTTAATTTTTAAATGAGAAAATAAATTAAAAAAACATTCTTTTTATAAAAATAAAAAAATGCATGGTGAGTGTAAAATTTGTCATGGTGAGGCCCAGGTTATTGAAAAAACCGTTTTTTTATATACTTCATTTTACTTCCTTATTTTAAATTCACTATACTTTAATTCACTATATTTAAATTCACTATACTTTATTTCCCCTATATTTTAAATTTTCACTTATTTTAAATTCACTTTTACTTTACTTCCTATACTTTAATTACTTACTTTAATTCACTATATTTATTCCCCTTATTTAATTACTATATTTTTAATTCATTTATTTACTTCCCTATCTTTAATTACTATATTTATTTCCCTATACTTTAATTCACTATATTTATTTCCCTAACTTTAATTCACTATACTTTATTCCCCTTATTTAATTCATTATTTTAAATTCACAAACTTTATTCCCCTATATTTTAAAATTCACTTATTTTAATTCACTATACTTTATTCCCCTTATTTAATTCACTATATTTTATTCCTATACTTTTTCCCTATATTTTAAATTTCACTTACTTTAATTCACTATACTTTATTTCCCTATCTTTAATTCACTATATTTTATTCCCCAACTTTAATTCACTATATTTTATTCCCCTATATTTTAAATTTTCCCTTACTTTACTTCCTTATATTTTAAATTTCACTATATTTTAAATTCACTTTACTTTATTTCCCCTATATTTATTCACTATCTTTAATTCACTAACTTTTTTCCCCTATATTTTAATTCACTTCTTTAATTCACTATATTTATTTCCCCTATTTTTAATTCACTTACTTTACTTCCTAACTTTAATTCACTTACTTTACTTCCCTAACTTTAATTCCTATATTTACTTCCCTATACTTTAATTCACTATACTTTAATTCACGTAAGTTAAAAAATTAATTGTCGTATCACTTTTTTTAGGGTTTTCCCAAAAAAAATGTAATTTTTGTAGTAATGTAATTCCTTTTGCAGAGTTTTTTTTCAGACTAACTTCCTAATTTAACAAAAGGAAAATGTTTATTTGAATATATCAGCTGCCTTATGAGCATGCAATTATACAAGGGTTATTTCTGGAATAAGAGAGCAGGTTACTGCCCCATTTTTCCCCATTGTTACTGACACCAGTGTCCCCTCCCATGTTATGACACCATTTTTACCGTGTTCTGACACAGGTCCCCCTTTCCCTGTGACCTTGATACCAAGTTCATTAGCTTTAGGTTTAATGCCTATCGCTGTTGCGGTCGTTATCAGAAAAAAACTTCAAATCTCTCTGGGGAATACGTTGTTATTTCAGTATAGGGAACTTTTAGAGAGATACTTTTTATAGAGTACACTTGTTACTCTCGTGTACATACTTCCCCGGGGACATACCCTTTGGGGGTGTATTCTTTGTATACAAACTCTGTTTTCCCCGATTCCCCTAGTAACTCTGCGCGCTGATGTGCGTGAGTGGGGTATCGTATGTTTCACCTAATTGTACTCACCTAATTGTAGTTTAGGAGACGAGACTCAGCTCCTGGCCCCCCCTCTTCGCGTCGCTACTATTCCCCCTTTTGCTCCCTGGCTTTGTCATCCTGCTTGAAGAATGTTGGTCCCTGCCCACTAACTTGTAGCTATTCCACTTCCCGAAAAATTTAAAACTGAAAAAATATTCCTACAGCCTTTAACTAAATCTGCGTCTTCAGTTCCAAATTTTGACCCTGTTTCAAAGCCCTCTCTGGAACCCCCCTGTCTCTGTCCCCCTTTTTATCCCGAAGTATTTTGTTGTCGATTCATCCCCTTTCCCCGACCCTCCCATCTTCCTTTTTCATCAGGTCGATTTCCCCCAACCTTCTTCGTAGGGGGATTCCCCCGAGCTTGGAATAACCCCTTTTTGCAAAAAAAATTTGTATTTTTTCTAATTTTTTGATGTGCTTTTTCCAGGTGTGGGTTTAAAAGGTGCTGCATACTCCCTAGGGCCTGACGTCCCCTTGTACGTGTCTTGAACGAACCTTAAGGTATCGGAACGTTATTCTAGGTTTGCAGGGCCCCTTGCTGCACAGTTTTCTGGTTGATGTGTGCTTCCGGGGCGGTCGGTGTTATGCTCACCCCCAAAATTTTTTTGGTTTGCAGTTTTTTCCAGTAGGATACTCCGTCTGAGGTCTTCTTGCCTTCCCCCACTTCATGATTTTGCATTTGGCAGTTGCTGGGCACGTGTTCAGCTTGTTTAGGTGTGTTTTTTGTGTTGTGGGTGGTGTGTGGTGTGGTGTTGGGGTGTGTGTGTTTATTCTGGGTCATTGCTGAAAAAAATAATATTTTAAAACCCTTGTTTTTTTAATTTTAAAGTTAAAAATTTTAAAAATGTGTTATAAAATTTGATATATTTTTAAATTTTGGATTTGATAATGGTCTTTGTTGATACCCAAAACTAAGTAAATAAACATGGGTTATATAATTTTAATTTTGCACGTCGGTATATATTATATATATATATTAATATTTATATATTATATATATATATATATATATATATATTTTTATATAATTATTATATTATATATTTAAATTGTTAAATCTTCATTTCTTACAGTAACAATATGTATCGAATTGTTTCCCCCATTTTCCCCCCTGCGAAGCCTGACCCTACGGGCATAAAGCTTCTTCTATTTTTATTATTATTTTCATAATAATAATCCTTTGTTTCATCACCGTAAACATTAATTTGTGCGATTATTTTTTGTATATATGTATTTAAAAATAATAAGTAAAAATTTTTCAACAGTCCCATTCACAAAAAATCAAGAGCACAAGTAGTTTGTTGATTTTTCAAGACTGTTTTTTACCTGAAAATTACAGAAATAGATTTTATTTAACGTCTTAAAAATGCAATAATATACATGATATATATTATTATATATTTTTTATAAATTTTTATTTTATATATATATATATATATATATATATATATATTTATATATATATATATATATTATTTTTAAAATTTATATTTAATAAAGTGTTTTAATAGCATAATTTTCAAAGTACATGCCCCGGCAAAGGGGAGGAAAAAGGATTATGAAGTCGGGTGAAAACTACGTAATAAGGGAAGTTTTAGTGTGTCTTGAAGTGCTGTATTCCACAAAAGAACATGGCGATCCTAAACTCTATGAGTCGAAAAGTTGGTAGACTGTGTTAGTAGATATTCCAAAAGACATGTCTATCAGTGAATTTTCTATAATAAAAAATAAAATTGGCTGAAAATACACTTTTGTATTAAGTTTAAAACACTTTCTTTGGTGTGTGTGCTACGCGGAAACCTGACAAAATGACACTTTGGGCTTTTGTTCTATAATATACTCCCCCATATATATATATTACAGAGATGTCGGTCAAAATGGCATTTTGTTTTTAACTATACAAATCACACTTTGGTGTCTCTTAAAGGAACGATGCTACGAAACAACACTGTCACTAGTTGAGAAAAATTAAGTCACAGAGTAGTTCACTGTGTCAAGGCAAGTGGCCGGCGATGACGGGAAGTGCAAATACAGTTTTGATACCCTTTTCAGTGTGTCCATTTAAGACCCCCCCCCCCTCCCCCAACACTTTCGAAATTTATGTTGGACACATTTCGCAATTTACACTTCTGGACACAGCAGTTTGTAGCGGCTTTCAACCACAACATCACAGTTAACAACCTCTGGAAACTGAACTTTCAGTGGAGTATATCTAACTTGACAGTCACCCTTGAGTTCCAAAAATACTGTCACCCGGACGCTTTATTTCCAAAACAACATCACACGATGGAATATTTTCTTTCCACTGAACATCACTCGCTTAAATCTTTAGTTTTAGCCTAAAGCAAATGATAACAGAAGCTAGTTCATCAGTTCTGAGGAGATTAAATAACCCAGAATCACTTTAATAAAATACTTGGTAAGAACCTTTGATTTTCCCCCCATACGGTGATTCAATCACTAAATCCGACAAGACGCCATGAACATGGTTTTCAACTCAACAATTCCGTCAGCTGTACCCTGAACGGGAACACATTGGACTCCCGACTCTGTGCACAAGATTGTCTTGCCAACTAACTTTCAGTTTTCACAGCTGCGTGAAAAAATATTTATTGCCAACTTGAGTACGAGGTCAGTCCATCGACAGTTTGAAGACGATGGTGCAAATGCGATATCCAGTTGCAGGTAAGACACTAGATGCAAAATCTCTTATGGTGTGATACTACAAGTGCAATGTACACTTTCCGTATCAAGTTAGACTCAGGGTTTTTAATTTCAGTAACAGAAACAAGCTCACAATGTACAATATAAACCCCCTCTCTACCTCCTGAGTGTCCATGATTCATCTGGATGAGGCTCTGGAACGGCTGGAATGAAACGTTCCCTCTTCCTCCTCTTTATCTTATTCCCCTTCACTCCCCATGCGTCTTTTTGCGATGTGGAAGGTGGAGGCAGCAGAGGACGAGGGAGAGGAGGAAAGAGAGGAGGAGGAGGACAGGTGAGGACCTAAGATATGGGCAGCGTCACGTGAACCAGCAGGAGCGGCGTCCCACAAGGTTGTCTGGGTGGATGTGATCCTCGTAAGGTTGTGTGGAACGTAACTCGTCTCTCACCTGCGGGAAGATATGACTTAGTTAATGGTATGTGTGTGTGTGGTGTGTGTGTGTGTGTGTGTGTGTGTGTGTGTGTGTGTGCATGCGTTCCGTTTAACCACAATGAATTATTAATAGAATTTCAAATGCCTTCGTGAACTATCAGCCATATTTTCACGGAATATTTATTTAGTACACACACACACACACACACACACACATTAATATATATATATATAATATTAATATATTTTATATATATATATATATATTATATATATATATATATATATATATATATATATATATATATATAAATATCACTAAAAATAGTGAACATCCAATCAATGCACTTTCTTGTTAATTCATGCGTGAAAGATTTTAACCACCAAATTGATTTTCAAAAGGCCGAGAAAATTGTATCAATACGTCTATGGTTGAGAGAATTATAATTGAATCAAGTTTCTTAAAAATAGTATTGATATCAATATAATTTAAGGCTTAATAAATTAGATTCACATATAATTTATAAAATCTGGGAAGAATTTAAGTCATGCGTGACAAGTCCCTGACACTCCCACCCGCTTCGTACTGGGACGGTATAATGTCCCAGGCGATGTGACGTCTCAGCCTTATAAGCCTTCTACTGTTCCATTATTATTTCACTGTGATTGTTTTGCATATTGTGATATCTGTTTACTGTGATCTTGCTGCTTATCTATATATATATATATATATATAATATATATATATATATATATATATATTATATATATATATATATATATATATATATATATATATATGTATATATGTATATATATATATATATATAATATATATATATATATATATATATATATATATGATAATATATATATATATATATATATATATATATATATATATATATATATATATATATATATAAATATATATATATATATATACATATAATATATATATATATATATATATATATATATATATATATATATATATATATATATATATACTATAAATATATATATATATATATATATATATATATATTATATATATATATATATATATATATATATATATATATATAATATGTATTAAGACTTTTAATATTAAAGTTGTATTCAAAAATTTTGATACAGTAAAAAAACTTTTGATAAAGAATTCCCCCAAAATGCTAATGGATGTGTCTATAAGATTCCTTGTAAAATTTGCGATAAAGTTTATTACGGTCAAACTGGTAAAAATCTCGAACTAAGATTAAAACAACATAAATATAGCATTAGAACTGGACAAGATTCCAATGCTCTATTTATTCATGTAAGAGATTTTAACCATCCAATTGATTTTCAAAAAGTTGAGAAAGTAGTATCAAGCAAGTCCATGGTCGACAGGAATATAATTGAATCTTGTTTCATAAAAAGCAGTTTTGACAATAATATGAATATTTCCTTTGGTTTATATAAATTAGATCCATTTATAATTAATAGAATTTGGGAAGAATTTAATAATACACTGGACAAATAATAATTTTAAAAATTTTCTTGGGTAGAATAGTTTGTGGGTGGTTTTGCAAAGGACCTGTCCAGTTGGGTCGGCGCGCGTCACGTGTTTAACCGTTGTGGGATCTGATAGTGAGGTGATGGCCAGACCCCCTTGTATACCTTCCTTGGATGCTTTACTTTCATAGTTCCTTGATAATGTGAGTAGTCACGAAAGCGCTTGGAATTTCTTTATTCTTTCAGAGTGGTTGTTTTGCATATTCTGAAATCACCTGTTTACTGTGATCTTATTGCATAATATATATATATAATATATATATATATATATATATATATATATATATATATTATATATATATATATATATATATATATATATATGGCCGAAGGAGACGCGAACCTACGAACCTTGGAACAAGGTACGCAGTGCCTTACCATTCTCACCACACTGAAGCAATACCTTGGCGTCCAGCTTGCGCTACACGTTGATCCAAGGCAGCCAGCTTTCAGGAAGAAGGCTTACAGCTTTTCATCTCATCCCCTGCATGCATCAGCGTTACTAGAGATTTTAACAATGCAAGGAATTCGCAAAAGCAGGCGAAATATACACAAGGCACTGTGAACCTTGTTCCAAGGTTCGTAGGTTCGAGTCTCCTTCGGCCAGAGGTCAGTGTTTGTGTATAATTCGCCTGCTCTTGCGAATTCCTTGCATTGTTAAAATCTCTAGTAAGGCTGATGCATGCAGGGGATGATATGAAAAGCTGTAAGCCTTCTCCCTGAAAGCTGGCTGCCTTGGATCAAAAGTCTAGCGCAAGCTGGACGCCAGGGTATTGGTTCAGTGTGGTGAGAATGATAAGGCACTGCGTACTTTGTTCCAAGGTTCGTAGGTTCGAGTCTCCTTCGCCAGAGATCAGTGTTTGTGTATATTTCGCCTGCTCTTGTATATAATATAATATATATATATATATTATAATATATTATATATATAAATATATATATATGTCGTGCCGAATAAGTAAAAACTTGCGATTGCCAAATAGGGCAAGTGAAAATTTGTGTATGAAGTAATTTCGAAAAAAATCAATCTAAATCTAACGAAAAAATACATTTCATTGTTTTTATTATTAAATTACTGTAAACTTATATAGAATATATTTACTTGGATTATGCTAAATTAAATTGCGCTTGTTATAATAAGGTTAGGTAAGTTTCCTAACGTTGTTTCGGTACAAAACCATTAATTTTTTAAATGTATTCGAGAAAATTTTAGAAAGGACTTAATTTTTAATTAGTTCTTGCTAATTAACGAATTTTACCTATTCAGAACGACACACACACACACACACAACACACACACACACACACACACACACACACACACAACACAATATATATATAATATATATATATAAAATATATATATGTTCATGTGTGTAGGTATGTATGTAAGTATACATATTCATACGTTAGTGTGTACGATTTCTGAAAAACAAGTAGATGTAAAAACTCGACCTAGAAAAGTGTAACGTAAGCTGATTGGTAGATCAATAATCTAATTGATCACCTGGAAGATGAATCCCTGAGCTTTGACCTGAAGCTGCGTAGTACAAAAAAATAAAAAAAAAGTAATTTAACACAGAATCTCCACCAGATTCCAAAACACCAGATATGTCTTTTTATTTTTATCGGAATAAAGACAATAGAGTGGAATAAATAAATATAAAGTGAAATGAGAGCAAACACAAAATATAAGATAGTGGAATTAAACAATGTAAAACAAGGACACAGTAATAGCCGAGACAGAAGCAGGGTGGAAAAGAAAACTGATAAAAGGCGTTAAAAATAGAGGGGTAACAAAGTAAACAACGACAGCGTAAGAAACAGTGAGAGGAAAAAAAAAAGCAGCAAGAGTAAAACAAAACAGAGATCGTAAGAAAAAAAAATAAGGGATCGGGTGCAAAAAGCCGGTGGATATTATCGCCGGAAAATGAACTGTGACAAATCCGCCCAGGTGAATAATTCATGAAACAGCTGCATGATATATGACGCAGCGCTGTTGCCAAAACAGTGCGATTTCTCCGCCGTGAATTCTTGCCAAGTTGGCCTGACAGCTCCCCACCACCATTTCCCCCCATCCCCACCATTCCCACCATCTCTGCTATCCCCACCATCCGTCCAAATGTCTGGCCCGCTGTGTCTCCGCGAAACACAGCCGCACTGACGAACTTCATTTGTAATATTTCTTGCTGTCAAAGGCAAGGCAAAATGGAATTCTTACGTTCTCTCCCACGTTTTCTCGGTAATGGGAAACTAAAAAAAAATACTTAACAAATGGGATTCTTGCGTTCTCAATCTTTTATTTTTTTTTTTTTTTTGCTGTTTTTGCTTTTTTTGTACCGAGTTGTATAAAGTTTGCCCAAGTTACAGAGTTGTGGCCACTCAGGTTGTACACAGACCTTTGTAACGTAGGGAAAAAGGTTTAATAAAACTTGCTGACAAGCCAATATATATATATATATATATATATATATATATATATATATATATATATATATAATATATATATATATATATATATATATATATATATATATATATTAAGGCAGAAAGTTGAAAGTGAACATAGAAAAGAGTAAGGTGATGAGGGTATCAAATGATTTAGATAAAGAAAAAATGGATATCAAATTGGGGAGGAGTATGGAAGAAGTGAGTGTTGTTAGATACTTGGGAGTTGACGTGTCAGCTGATGGATTTATGAAGGATGAGGTTAATCATAGAATTAATGAAGGAAAAAAGGTGAGTGGTGCATTGAGGTATATGTGGAGACAAAAAACGTTATCTATGAAGGCAAAGAAGGGAATGTATGAAACTATAGTAGTACCAGCACTCTTATATGGGTGTGAAGCTTGGGTTGTAAATGGTGCAGCGAGGAGACGGTTGGAGACAGTGGAGATGTCCTGTCTAAGGGCAATGTGTGGTGTAAATATTATGCAGAAAATTCGGAGTGTGGAAATTATGAGGTGTGGAGTTAATAAAAATATTAGTCACAGGGCTGAGGAGGGGTTGTTGAGGTGGTTTGGTCATTTAGAGAGAATGGATCAAAGTAGAATGACATGGAGAGGGTATAAATCTGTAGGAGAAGAAAGGCGGGGTAGGGGTTGTCCTCGAAAAGGTTGAAGGGAGGGAGTAAAGGAGGTTTTGTGGGCGAGGGGCTTGGACTTCCAGCAAGCGTGCGTGAGCGTGTTAGATAGGAGTGAATGGAGACGAATGGTATTTGGGACCTGACGAGCTGTTGGAGTGTGAGCAGGGTAATATTTAGTGAAGGGATTCAGGGAAACCGGTTATTTTTATATAGCTGGACTTGAGTCCTGGAAATGGGAAGTACAGTGCCTGCACTCTAAAGGAGGGGTTTGTGATATTGGCAGTTTGGAAGGATATGTTGTGTATCTTTATACGTATATGCTTCTAAACTGTTGTGTTCTGAGCACCTCTGCAAAAACAGTGATTATGTGTGAG